TATGCCTAGATATGGCACAAATCCTTTGAGCATCAGTAAGGCAAAATCGTAAAGGCCTCAGGCTCTACCACTTAGAAATTATGCGTGATTCGACAAATTATTAAATCTCTCTGTCTCAAGGTTGTTTGCATAAATGGTGATAGGGAGAATATTTTATGGGACCACTGTACCATTAGTTAATACTTGAACTTCACTCACAGAGATTTCTGACTGCAATAAGTCATCAGTGTGATTTGTGTTTTGGTAAGGTCCAAGATGTCAAGATAGAGAATGGATTGGAGAACGACAGAAATGGAATAGTACAATACTTCAGAAGAAGGACTAAGTCTACTTTAGACAGAGTACTTGGTAGTGCTGGAGAAATAGGGGTAGCACTCTAAGCTATTAGACATTCAATGGCCACCTTGATTTAAGAAGGAAAGGAAAGGAAAAGTTACCCTAAGGTTTATTGCTTATATGCTAGATGAATGGTGATATCGCAATAGTTTGTATCCCGACTGCTACTGCCCTCTGCCACAGCTTTCCAAAGACTCTCCTGGTAGGCTGGCTGCCAGAAATTGATTCTGTGGCTATTTAAAGCACACCACAATAAACAAAAACCCTCACAGGCCAATAGAAGCAAATTTCTCCTACTAAACCTAGCCTGTGCTAGTAACCTTAAGTGACCCCATTCTCAAGCCTTTTTGCTATAATATTAATTAAAAAGTTATCTATTGTTCTGCATGGCAGAACACAACACTTCTTTTTGACATGAGGACTACTTCCAGGTATGGCATCAATGAGTGGTACAAAAATCTGATGAGCAGAATTCACTCCCATGTTTAGGATGGTTTGGCATCATTTGGGACATGATGAAATAGTCTTCACCTTGTGGGGAGAGGTGCTTACTTATTACAGATATTTTAACCAATGCATGCAATTGGTCAAGTATAACACACAGTACATGTAAGATAATGAAATTTAGGTACATTAAAGACATGAATGTATGATTATTGCTGTTATACTATTCTATTTAATAGAATATGATAAAGCATAGGCAGAGTTAAAATGACACTAAAACAAATCCTTGGGAACATACTCTCAAGAAAACTTTCTTATTGCTTGAATTACCCACACAAAAAATATGCTTCTATTCTTGTCTTAAAAGCCACCATCTGTATCCCTACTACATAATCCAAAAATTAGGAGAGCTGAATATATCATGTACCGTATATCTTATATAATGCTATTATAATAGTTATGTTTGCACTATTAAATTATGAAGCGCATTGCTTCTTTGACAAGTTATGCATACAAAAGTTGAAAAAGGGATATATTAGCAAGTTTATTTTAAAGTTGGAGAGTGAAGGAAAAGTGGTAATTAATCCTAAATGTTGGGGTTTTCCAATTCTATAACACAAATGTCCTGAAATTATCGGTTAGGTTGTACCATTCTCTGCATCTCTTGTGATTACTCTTCTAGTGCTTAATTTATGGAGAGGTGGCACTCCATATGGATCTTTCTCCTTCCTCTAAGAAGCAGCACTGTTAGACAGTACTTCCACTCACAGAGCTGGTAGTGTTATCAAATCGAGACCTCATCGGAGCTTAGCTGAATCAAATATTGCCTCTGGAACTCTGAAGATTTTTGTCTGGATATCACATAAGGATTCCCTTCAGACCTTTTTCATCCTTCACATCTTTAAAAGCAGCACAAAGAAAAGGAAAGTAGAAATATACATTTCTGCTTTTTTAACCACTTTGCCTTGCACTGCATCTAGAAGCATAGTAGCAAAAATAAAGGATGGCTTTGCCCTCTAAAAATAGTACATTTTGGGTAACGCTTTCCTTCTGAATGAAGACCTTTATTTCTCCTGGAGAAATTCACTTTGATTTTTCCAAGTGTTTAAAGCTGTTTGATAATTTATAGCCACACACCTACATATGTCTGAAAGGATTTAGTGCTTCAGGTAGCTACTTCTATTCCATGATGCACCTGAATGAGAAAAGCAATAAACTAAGGAATGGCCAACTATCTCCTTTTCTCCTTCCCTCCCCCACACCCTTCTCTACAAACTGAACTAGTTAATCACTGAAGAGTTTGCTATTTTTCAATCTCTATGCCTAAATAATTGTTCTTAAGGTGAATGTATTATGCAAATAAAATATATGCCCATCCTTATATAAGCCTTGGTATAATTATAGTTTTGTATCATTAGAGTTGTATGTCAAAAGATTTATAGCTTCATCACCTCAAGCAATATTTCACAGCTGCCAAGAATGATTTATGCAATAATGACTTAAACTGTAAAATAGAATCCTCAAAGGAAGGGCTGTCAACTACTCCTCCTGCAAATAAGTAGGTTTTTAAAAATTGATATTCTGGTAAACAGTAAGTGCAGTTGTAGCCAGCATAGTCATCAAAAGAATGGTACGAAGAGTTGCTTCCCAGTGGATCAAGCAGCTCATAGTACACTGCATCAGTGTGGACTCTGCATAGGTCTCAGGTTTAAACTGCTAATAAAGTCTCTGAGAACGCTGGGAAACAGGCATTCAGAAATAATGGTTTACTTGCATTATTGTTACTCAATTATGAATCAATGGGGAAAGTACAAACAGAATACCTCAGCTCTCTGTCAATTTGCTATCTTGTGATCATTCAGTGTTTTTTTTCTTTAGATTCATGGGAAATTCTGAATTAAGAATAAGGAAGCATTTAGCAGTAAGTTGGGACTATTTGACCAATAAAAATGACTTTTCCTCTCCTGCTTTTTTTTTAAAGAGTGGTTGGCAAGACAATCAAAGCATTAGAACTTCATAAACTCTGTCTGATTTCACAGTTGCCATGTGAATGAAATCAATATGCTCTGAAGATTCTGTTCAAGGTTGCATCAAAGACAAGATTATCACATTCAAATCAAATAAGCATGACTGTATCTTTACAATCTAAAAAGGTCATTCAAATTAATCATTGTTTTACTTTGGAAAACCATGAAAAGCTTGAGTCATGTATCTTATGTCAGTTACAGCTAGGTGGCTGACATTTACTTATTTATTAATACTAAAACTCCTTTAAGACTGAGTCTCCTCTGCAAAAAATCAACAGAAACAAAAGTGTCAAAAAGGCGAGAATTTCTCTACCTAAAAAAGCCCCCAAATACAGACTTTTTGAGTGAATTTAATTTATATGACCAAGCAAATCACTCAGATATATTTTTACATTAATCAACATACTACTTCTTTGTAGAAGTTTTTACAATCATCCCTGAGTTTCCACGAGAAATTGGTTCTTTAAGGTGTTTTGAGAACTTTCCATAAGTCACATTGTATGAAGTAACTACGGTTCAAAGCATCACCATTTCAGTTACAGTATAGAGAATCATTTTACCCAAAAACACTATGATAAACATATTTCGCATCTAAGAGATTGGGGCATACCAGATTTATTCTATAATTAAATTCTGAAATAACCCAGAAGGCATAGTGACTAAAGATGGATCAACGTCCTGCAGAGCCACAATGTAGACTATGTCAACATCATAATAAGCACTCAGCTGGAGAATACTGTCAGAAGTTCCAGTGATTGCATGAGTGTAGTTTCTTGGCTTCAAATATATGAAAGAGATGAGTTGTCTTTGGATAGCAGAAACCTCAGTCCAATACATGTTTTCAGGACCATAAAATAATTAGTCTTTTTTTTTAGTATGCCAACACTACTGAGTGAAAATTGAAATAGAATGGGACCAACTTGCAAAACAACTTCTATACCGTTTAATATTCATATAATTGCTTTTCCCAGATTAACACCATGTTACACAAACTTTTTATTCCCATAAGATTTCATTGCACATATCCGCTCCCATTCATGGCACAAAATATCCAATAATGAATGGTTATACATTTCCTATCACGAAAAATTAAATTGTAAGAGAATATATGGACATCAGTCTTTTTCTCTGCTATTTTTTTTCTGTAATTTGCTAAATGATGAGCTGTTATCATACTTAGGCTTTAGCACATTACATGTTTACCAGAAACTTAGTTTTCTAAAAGTTGAACAGATACTTCTCTACCTTTTTAATTTCTGTAAATGAAAGAGAGAAAAAATGGATGACAATGTAAAATTGAGAAAATTGGATACCATGCATAAGATTATGAAATTATTTTGCCTTTAAGTCCTAAGTTGTTAAATGTCATCAATTGTGCACATGTAAGGATATATATGAATGTAAAGTATGCACAACTGAAAATTGGCACATACGAATGTGGCCACACATATAAATAAATAGAAATATATATCAATTTCATGCCATGTCACAAATGCTTGAAAGAAGGAGGCATGTCCTTGAAGTTGAGGTGTGACCTTAAGTTTGTAGCGTCAGTGTGCTGCGGGTACAAAAGTGCCATAACTTCACAGAGTTATAATTCCTTTTCCACACTTCTTAATTTAAGGAAATCCTTGAACCCATGAATGTTAGACTTTATCCAGGTTAACTGGGTCAGTTTTAGAAGTTCATATATGTCATCCCCAATTTTGTGTTAAAATGAGCAGAGGAAATAAGAGGTATTGCCTACTCAAATCTAAAGTACCAACCAACACTTGTAAAGTTGAAAATGTTATTTTTAGAGTTTTCAGTTCAACAAGGCTTTTCCACGTATTTTCTGGTTCAAGCAAATTAAATTCTCTTCCTCTCCAACCAAATATATATCAATTTAGGCAGTACATTATTGATAGTTTTATTATACCTTAGTGAAAGGAATGTGCAGACTAATTTGTGGCATTTCATCCTTAGCAGTACTAAACTGCTACACTTTGCAAAGTTCAAACAGAGTACCCTTATTCAAAGGAGACAATTTTTTTTCTAGTCGACTAATGAGAATGTCCATATTTCCTGGATAATAAAACACTACCAGCAAGTCTGTTTCTACCCTTTGGGGTTTCTCTGCATAAAAACTTTTAGTAACCAAAATTTATTTTCAATGAAATAAAAAACAAAGTATCCTAAGTTCATAAACTTTACCATTTTTGTGATAGTAGGTGACTTCCACTTTCCTTTCCTCTGACCCCAGCAATGCCTGGGCAATTTGGGCAATATCATGCCTCTTGGTCTCAGGCCCATGGAGAAAGTCGCAGGTGCACGGCTTTTGCATGACGTCTGGCCTGGAGAAACCAGTCATCTCACAGAATCCATCATTGCAGTAGATGATGGCACAGTTCTGCACTCTGGCATTTGCAATGATAAATTTTTTATCTGTAATAAGAAGATGAGAAGGCACCTTTTAAAGCTTCCATAAGACCCTTATAAAAACGGAATCAACTTATTGTATAATATAAGGCCTGAAATGCAAGTGCTTAAACAAAATGCAAATTTCCCAGATCTTTTCACACACCAAAAAGAAACTACATGGGAAAACTACCCCATAAACTTTAAATGTGAGGTTAACAGTACAACGGAACATAAGATATTAAGAAAGTATTATTCAAAGCAAGAATAGAATTTTCCAAACACTTTACTTTTCAAGTGCTATAACTTCCAGGGGGCCTAATAAGCATTCATATAAACATCTGGCCTATTGGTATCTCTAAGAAGGTACTAGAAGAGCAAAAGAGATACAAATTTTTCTAAGCCAAAATAGTGAAACATCCTATAACTGTCAAATTTTTCACTTTCCACTGTTACTCTTTGAATGCAACTTTCACAAAGTATTTTTGTTGCATTTGGCTTTTCTCTATCCTTTTAAAGTATACTATACATCATATCTTTTTAAGACAAGTTTAACAAGGAAACCATTTGACATTTATTAGTATTTCAATAATGCGAAGAATCATTCACCTTTTCAAAAACTACATTAAAAAAGCAAAAAAATGTATACACCTGCACAGTGTCATGTTAGCATCTTTTTACACTGAAAGAACCTTGAATTTCTATGCACTAGTAGAATTTTTAATACAAAATGTCTTCATTTTAATGAGACTGTATTTACTATTTCCAAATTGAACACGAAACAAGAAATACACATTTTTCAAGTAAAGTATGAGATCCTCAGCTTACTGAATGTGGTGCTAACAAAGTGCGAAGTATACAATATAGACATGTAGCAACGTAGATTAAACAGAACAATATAAATGACCAATGCAGGATTTTAATTTCCTCCATTTGTATGAAATAAATTTTGATAGTTCACATGACTATGTTACATTTGAGACATCTCGTCTCTGTAGGATTTACTTATTTCAAACCACTTTTTAAAATTCTAGATGGGAAATTTAAGGAGACAAGAAGAGCACAAAAACAATCTTGAATAATGAGCTGTGTTCATGAGAAGTCCGCTCAGATGAGACAATGCTTTCCCAGATGATCTGGTGTGGCGTACATTTGCACTGATTCAACGCAAAGTTTAGCGTGCATAAGCTACAGCAGGTAGGCATCTCTGTTGTTTCAGAGCCCTGCAGCTTACCAACCTAAAATATAGTTGGCAAAGCCACTTACATCACTACTCCATTTACATTCTTTTGTTCCAATACCATGTTTTGCTCTGCTCTTGACTTTTAAAAGTGTGCAATGAAGCAGGCTCAAAATATAAACCCAGGTTATACCAGCACGTTCCCTTTAAGATAGTAGAATAGTAGGGCATTAAGTAGCAAGGCAGATAATGGGGCAGAAGGAGGGAAGGATCAAATTGCTTTGGATAATGGAGACCATAATTTAAAATGTAAATCAAAATTAATGAGAGAGAGAGAGAGAGAGAGAGAGAGAGAGAGAGAGAAGAGAAGAGAAGAGAGAGCCTCCAGGCTGGGTCTCACAGCCTCGGAACTTGACAGCGCCCGGAGTTGCCGATCTCCCCAGCTAATCACCGTGCACTATCAGAGCGGAAAGCGAGGGAGAGAGAAGGAGAAGAGATGAACTTACTTTGCCCTTCAAATTTCCGTATGATGGTCCCCAAAAACGTGTTTTGTGGTGCCACATGCCCCCTGCGAACAGGCATGTTGACCGGGTCTTCCGAGGAGCGCTGCTCCCGAGTTCTCCCGGGATCTCCGCGCCGCTAGAGCCCGGGCCGGCGCGCCAGCCGCTCTCGGGGGCCGAGCATCCTCTCTGGAAGCCGGGAGCCGCTTCCCATTAGCACCACTTCCAGAAGCCGCGCTCCCGCCGGAGTCCAGTCCGGTCCCACACCTTCGGAGGGGCCTCCTCCGGACTGCCGCGGGTGAGAGCTTTGGGGGTGGGGAGCGCGAAGGAGGCGGGGTGAGGGGAGGTGGCGGGGGAGGGACGAGGGAGGGAGCGCTGGGCTGCGGGTGGGGTGGGAGGGGGCCGGGAGTCACAAGGGCAATTGATCTGTTTCTCTTCTCCCAAACAGCGCCAATTTCCCAGTGCAAATGGGCTTAACCCGGCTGTTACCCAGAGCCCAGAGGACGGCTGGTGGGAAAGGGGAGGGAGTGGAAGACTTGTGCGGCTTTTGCAGGAAGGGGAAAAAGAGAAGGCTAGGGTGGGGGGTTGACGTTTCTATCCCCGCCCTCTCCCCTACACACACACACACACACACACACACACACACACACACACCCTTTATCCTGAGAGCTTGGGTGCTGCCACAGCTCGGATTACTCAAGCATGCTTTAACGAAAGCCGGCCAAGAAATCTTCAAAACTCAGTGACAAACAGCTACACTGGGAAGGTGATCTCTACGGCCACCAGCCACAGGGCTCCATCCCTGAGCTCCTCACGCTGCACCAACTACAGCAAACACCCTTAGCTGCAAAGAAAAGCGAGGTGGGAAGATAGCCCCTCAAGGGGGAATATCGCTCTGCTGTATAAGAACTCGGCAGGCAGGGGACTGAGGAAGAGGCACTTAAGGATGCATTTTAGCTTCGGGGTGCAGCCCGGGCCTCTGAGCTCCTCAGGGGTGGACACCGAAGCCCCGGGCCGGAACTGGCACGCGGGTCCCTGCCCAGCGCATAGGCGCGCCAGGGAAGCCCCGAAGGCTGCCTGCGCCGCGGAGCATGCCCAGTTTCATTGCCTCAGTCGCCGAGGAGTTGCAAGGTGGTGGGGTGATTGGGTCTCTGGGTGCCAAAGACTGCAAGAAAGATGGGAGAGCGACCGGTGCGAAACAAGGACGGAGTTTGAAAAGGGCGAGGCTGGGTACCAGGGGACGGAACAAAAGGTGGGTGGGGCTAAGAGTTAGCAGCCCGGCGTGACCTCCACGCCATTCCTTCCCTGAACACACTAGCAGCACCGTTCTGTTCTCCTCCATTCGGAAGTATCCTCTCCAACAGAAGAGGAAACGGTTCAAAGGGCACAATAGAGAGTCCTGTCCCTTCAGGTTTGTCACAGAATGTCAACGCGGGCTTCCTTTGGTATACTAACATTTCCGTCCAAATAGTCGTGGAGACTTGGGATGTACCCTGTGACAACCTCTGCTATGTTTCTGGTGTTTCCTTAGGTTTTCTCAAACTTCAGTTTTTTGTATTTCATGTTGCCACTTCCTTTAATTCAATAGCCTACCCACATCCCTCCCTCAGAATATAAAACGACATGTTTCACCAATGTACAGCTTTGTTTGCTCCCCCTTTTCTTTACAAAGTAGTTCATTCTGTCTTGTTGCTTGTTCCCTACAGCTAGGCATGTTAAGTCTTCAATTCCTCTTCCCGGGGCTGAAGAGCTATCCACGGTGCTGACTTTGACACGACTATTAGCAACGACTCTCTGCCTTCAACCAACCACAGACAATAGAACTATAAACGCAGGCAAATGGCCCTCTATATCCACATAAACCAGTGTTATTCACCAAATACCCACAAAACACAGAACAATGTGTTCGTCCCATTTCTAAAATCATGTTTTCTAACTAAACCCAAACTCCCCTCCCCCAAAGTACATCAAGTTTTCCAGAGGAAACTGGACTAACTGGATTGTCATTAAGCTGTGTTGTATAAATTTTCATTGTAAGTGAGCTCTGAAAGCATAATAGTACAACAGTAAGTTATAGAAAAGTCATGTGGCTAATAATTACATTCGGTGACATGTAAAGAGTGAATAAACATTTGAAGGAAATAATGAAGCTCAAATATATTTTGAAATGCAAAATCATATGTCTTATCACAAGATGAACTGATAAGCACTTATTGATTAAATTACATTTTTATTTATAAGTCTGATACTTTTACAGCCTATTGAGGCTGGAAAAGTCTGGGATTCTATTTTCTGTCTTTAAGAGTGGAAGTGGATTCCTACTACCTGATGTATTATTTTCCTACAACTTTCAGAGTGGTCTTTTTCTGCACTGGTTAACAAATCACATGCTCATTTGTGTTCTATTGTCTGTGTTACATAGGGGTGGGCATCATATTTTTTGCAGCTTCATTTAGCTTTAAGATTAGTTCTATCGATGATTCAGTGTAAAATCATGGAACATTCTGTAATCTATGTATTGTAATTGATATGAGCAGGAGATTAAAGGCATCCTGTTTCTAAATTACCCCAGTAACCATGTTCATGCAATATATATTGGTACAGTGGAAATAAGTTCATTAATCTATAGTCACCCAAAAATAGGATCAAAGCAGAGGATGGTAATCATGGCTGCATGTACTCTGGAAAGTTGTCTGGCACACTTGCAAAAGCTAAACTCATTTTGGATTTTTTAAATGTTTCAAACTTTTTAGTGTTTTTGGAGGTTCAAATATGGAACAAAATCTCTAACTTCAAGTATGAAAATTTTATTGATTAAACAGCCTAATACCACAAAGCAACAATGGGCAAAAATAAACAGATTCAGATAAACATCCATGTTACTTTGATAAAATTAAGCGACATAGAATTTTATTTTCATACTATATAGTATGTGTAGTAAGTACTCAAATTTCATAATTACAGAAGCCTTCATGTATTTTCGCAGAGTTAATAGGACTTTGAATAAGAAATACAAGTTTGAAGTTATTTACAGATCATACACATTGGTCACATTTTTAAGAAAATAGTGCTCATTATTATGAGGTGTCAAATGGCTTTCATATATGGAGAGGTAATGGAAGCCTTTTAAAACGCAATAAATAATATGATTTATGTTGCACTTTTAAAATGATGTAAAGTATAAATTGATGGAATTGATGTGATCTTTTCTTAGTTCAGCCAAATGAGTTACTGTTCTTAAGATCACAGTGCAGCATATTTATAGCTATTCTAATGATGGCTTCTATGGAGATGATTATCCTACTAGATCAGCCACATTTATCTTGGGAAACTTCTGATTGTGTGTTTTAGGCAATATTGAGCTTGCATTATCTTATGAAGTTCTACAGGCTCGTGAGAGCCCAAAGTACTGAGTTTAATAGCTAAAACAATAAATATTTCTGTGTAGAAAGAGGAAGGGAAATAGTGGATTCTACCTTGACTTCATCTTTTATGACCTGAACTAATAAAAATATTTGTTCTATTATGTTCTTTGCTTCATTCCTAAAATAAACAGACCAAATATTTTCAGTTTTTCCTGAAGGTGACAAAAAGAGGTGCACAATGTTTAGCCCAAAATCTGGCATATAGTGAATGTTTAGCATCTTTAATATATAGACATTATTTTAAAAATTATTAAATTAACACTATTGACAGATAGTACTTAACTAATTTGGATTAAGATTTGTTAGTGGTGAGGGTTTGTGTGTGTTTGCATGTGTGTGTGTATGTGTATGTGTGTGCATAAGATTGAGAGAGTAAAACAGACAGCAAGATTAAGAGAATGAGAAGTAGTGGTGGGGAATAAGAAATTATAGAACAAAATAGGCAAATAATGTTCCTCCATGGAAAACCCATGACTCTTTATAATATTCTAATTAGAAAATTGAATATCAATTTTTAGTTTATTTTCTCATTGCTGAGACAGAGTACCCAACACCCAAAGTTAAAGGAAGAACGGTTTATTTAGCTCACAGCTTGCAGGGGTTTCAATCCATAATCAGCTGGTTCCAAGGCAGGGTGGTGTGGCAGAAGGGCAATGATTCATGATGGTAAAAAAGAAAAAGCAACAATGGAAGGAGAAGGGACAAACCTCTTTCTGTTTCTAATATTGTATACAGGCCATCAACCCAGGAGAGGTAGCACTCACACCCTCAACCCCAGCATTCAACCATCAATCAATCAAAGTCTAGTTTCAGCCACTTCTGTAAAGCCTGTCCCCAATGACAGCATGAGGTGTCGGAGGGACACAACCGTATCTCCTCTAGAAAGTATTTTTTTTTTTTTTTTTTGCTGAACCAGGGATTGAACTCAGGCCCTTGTGCTTGCCAGGCAAGCACTTATTCTACTGAGCTATGTCTCCGGCCCTTAGAAAGTATTTAGATAAATCTCTGATAACATACTTTATATTTTAGTTTTCAAAATCATTATTATTCACTTAACTTCAGAAATGTTTCTGGCAACATAGTCCAAATGTTAATTTTAACTTAACCTGCTAAACCTTTGAGCATCCCATTAATAATATGTGAAGCCTTCATTAGGAACAAATCCAGTTCTTTGTGGAATGAGGTGCTGATAATCACTTTCTTAAAAATAAGTCCCCTCTTCTTGCAGAAAATAGTCTGTTCATATGTGTGTTAACACATTCATCAATAATTAACCTTTGAAGTAATTAGTGGCCTAAGTGAACTGTTACACTTTACAAAAACACATATTTAGAAACTTAAGTTTGTTAAATTCAAATTCACATACACACACACGTGTGCACACACACACAACTTAATCCAAATTAGTTAAGTGCTATCTGTCAGTAACAGTAAAGGCTTGATAAAGTGAATTGGTAAAATTATTTAGATGATGACTTATTTAATGAATAATTCAGTAGATGGGTCAAAAATGAGACAATTGTAATTTAAAGCTTTCTATATATTGATAGATCTGAAAATTATTTTAGCGTGTGTACTCATAATTTTTTAAGTTTGCAACGTGTTGCAATCTTACTAGATAAGAACAACTACAAGCAACTTAATCAAGATCACACAG